CCAGGAGTTTGAGGTGGCAGTGTGCTGTGATCATGCCACTGCACTCCAGCTGGAGTGACAGACCCCATCTCTTTAAAAGAAAGAAAGAAAAAGAAAGAGTTCCCTGATTCCTGAACTATTTGTATTAGTGTGGGAGGTGGCAGTTCAACCCTATTCCCACCTAAAATATTAGCTACCACAAGTATCTTTTGTGCAAGATAGTGGAAAGAAAAGTGGGTCAGAGGAACAATGTGAACTTAGTTGCTACAGCCCTTGCTTTCTTTAGCTGGTAGCAAGGCCACAGTTGATAACACTGCTTTATTCCTCCAACCATTCCATGTTCCTCTTTCCTACTGCCAACATTTCTATTGGGATGACCTGGACTTTCATTTCTGTAGGACTTTCATCCTTGCTTCTCCTGTCTTTAATGGATTATTGCAGTTTCCATTGACTAGAACTGTTGGTCAAGGGGGACCTAAGAGGCATCACAGTGAATTCTGTACATTCCATATGTAATTCTTGTCTTTACTGTATAGCAAAGCTTCAGTTTCCTGTTTGGTAATCTCAGTCACTCCAGACAGTACAGAATCGTTTTCTCTACCTTTTGGTTCATTGTCATGAGGAGCCCAAAGTGGTCAAGGGACAGTCTCAACTTCCAACGTAATGGAACTGTGACTAAGTACCCTGGTGGATGCATTCTTCCCTTGGGCACAAGGACCTCCAAACACACTGAACCCAAGGTCCCATAGACAGGAGGCAAAAATTCGTTTCATGGTACAATAGTGAGAATAGTCACTTCAACTTTCACCCTTTGGTTCCTAGTTCTATTTTGGCTATAGAGAGATAACCCTATATATTGTCCACTAGTTTAACACAGCATCCTATCTCTCAATTGATGCCATTACTGAGTATTCAACAATTAATCATGCCAGCTGCTTCTGAATGATAGGGTACAAGGTAAAACAAATAGATTTGGACAGATAGTTATTTCATTTTCTGTGTATGGATGTTATGAGGAGAAGCGGGATCAGGAGGAAAGATTTGTAGATCAGATTAGAAAACGTTACATGTCACACACTTTCACATTAGGAAATTGAGATGAACAGTGGCTAATTGGCTACATGTATATGTAGTTGAAGAACAGTGAGGCTGGGTGCAGTGGCTTGTGCCTGTAATCCCGCCACTTTGGGAGGCTGAAGCAGGAGGATTGCTTGAGGCCAGGAGTTCGAGACAAGCCTGGGCAATGTAGCAAGACCCTATATCTACAAAAAAGTAAATTAGTGATGTGCAACTGTAGTCCTAGCCACTTGGGAGGCTGAGGTGGAAGGATCACTTGAACCAAGGAGTTTGGGGTTGCAGTGAGCTATGATCATACCACTGTACTCCAGCCTGGGTGACAGAGTAAAACCCTGTCTCTAAAAAAAAAAAAAAGAAAGAAAGAAAAAAATAACAGATGGCAATGGAGATTTGGGAATCTTTAGTATACAGTTGGTTATGAAGGGTGTGGAAAAGCTCAACGAAGGTGTTTAGCAGGAGATGAAGATAAAGGAAAAATAATCTGGAGAAATTGAAAGTTGAGGAAAATGACCAAGAGACACTTGGGCTGTAGAAGCCAAGGAAAAACCTATCTTAAGGACAAAATGGTTATCAGTTTTAAATTTGGGCAATAAATGTAAACTTGAAAACTGAAAGTAATTATTGGTCATTAGTAATCACAGCAAGGAGAATTTCAGTGGAATGATGACTGTGTAAGTCATGTTGTACTGAAAGGAAGAGGAAGTTGGAAAAGTGAGCATCTACTTTTTCAAGGATTTCTCTTTTAAGGATATGGGAGAAATAGGGCAAAAATTAATTTGAGGTTGACATAGATCTAAAGGTTTTTAAAGATATATGAGTCTTGAACATGTTTGTAGGCATAGGGTAAGATTGTACAGAGAGGAATGATTGTGATTATAGGAGAGGGTAATAAGTAAAGCGAGATTTCATGGGATACTGTGGAGGATGGTGTCTATAGGACCATTGGTAGGATCATTCTTAAACAGGAGGGAAAGATAAGTACAAGTAGCAAAAGGGCAAGAGAATTGGTAGTTGGCAGAACACTGGTTGAATTTAAGGATTTCTAGAGTGAATGGGAAAAAAGTAGTCCTAGAAGTGCTAGGAAGGTTGTGGTGAGAAACTGGAAGAGGTCAAGGAACAGGAGGACTGGGAGAGCAGTAATGAGAGAGGTGGCTGGAGAGGCATCGTGGACATTTAAGTTTGTGATGTCAGCATTGGAACAGGTGTGATCTTGATTGCTGTTCTGGAATAGAAATGAAGATTGTAGGAATTGAGGTCAAGGAACTTTGAGGCAGTGTTACTGGATGGATCAGATATCTACATTCAGGTAACTTAGAGTGATGGCAGAAATGTGTTAGAAAGGAAAAGTACCGAGCCTTCAGTGAATGTTGGGGGATTTAGTAAATATTAATGAAGAGGCACAGAGGATAGCATGCACACAAAGGAAAAGAAATAGAAAAGAACAATAAAAACATTTATTAGGCATATACTAGACGCCAGCTACGATTTTAAGTATGTTCCATATAGTAAATTGCTGAATTGTCATAATAACATTAAAAGG